TGGACGATGGTATGATTGACAGCTGGAGTCTAGGAGAGAATAAACACTATCATTTTCTTTATCCTACCGATTCGATTGTGGTGATGTGAATTCTACTCCAACAGTTTCAGGGCGATTGACGCGCCCTTCTTAACAAACCATCCAGTAGGAAGCTTAATAAGTATTGCGAATTGTGTTATTCGATTTGTTGGAGCGTATCGTTGGAAGGAGATTCTTAAATTCCCGTGGATTTCGCGTAAGTGTCTCTGCTTACGGGTCCACCCTTCCGTTTTTGGCCCTTCATACAGCGATATAGTGAATTCAGATCGGTAGCTCAAATTGATCTTGCTAATAAGTGGAGCTGCATCCAAGACAAGTCTTGAAAGGATGGTGGCTACCTTACATACATACATACAATTCATGGGATTCCATTGGGTTGGGCTTCTAGCCAGTTTCAAAATTTTCCAGATTTAGCAGACCTTTCTTCGTCATTGGCAATTCTTGAAAACCTTCTGTGTAACATCGTACTAAACCCCAACCGAAACTACCCGAAACACGAAAAACCGGAATAAAATCAATATATTTGACGAGAGAGAAAAAATCACATCCAGCTTCGAACACCGCACACTTCGATCGTGGAAATTTCCGTTACTATGATGCACATAAATGAAGCGTCATATATCATACGTGTTTACATGATAGATCGTGTAAATTTATGGACATGTCATGAAATATTCCATATATCGCAGTGCAGTTTCGAACACATTCGGATACGCTTTCATAGTTTTCGGCTACATTTGCCGGATTAGCGCTGGCACTCTGCCTCCCGGACGGTTATAGGTACGTGTGTGATTGGTGATTTTCTCGCTTTCCGAGAAGTTTTAGAATCGAGAAAAAAACATGATTCATCATGTTAGCAAGCATCAGTCCTGAGATTTTACGCTGCCTGCATTGTTTGATTTTTTGAAATTTGTGGCATCGTGAGTGATAATTTTAATTTCAGTTTATTTACGCGGTGATGATGTTGGTTCGTTTGCAACTATTTTTGAAAAAAATTGAGTGTTTTCGATCGAAAGGGGAAAGTGCTGATAATGTGTCCGTCGCGAGTTTTGATGGTGATTCGGTAGCCGATGTTGCCGTGAGTCAGCGAGTTTACGGCTTACAAAAGTGCTCGTCTGCTGGTCTCCCGCCAGTGTCGGAGATTGTGAGAAAGCTAAAGGATGCCTCGCTGGATACACCCAAGACTGGACGGGCGGTAGCTGGTGGCCGTTAACGGAACCTGGAACCCCACTAGACGCAAATCTCCTCCCAGGTGACCATGGCAATGCAAGAAAAATTGTTTTCGTTGAAGGAAGTATTACAACAAAGGTAATTGCTATTAGATATTTTTGCAAACAGTGACAGATAGCAGACATTTAGCTCGAGTGGAGGTGTTATATCCTAGACAAATGGTAAGTTATAAATTCGCTGTTGTCGTCGTCGTAGGCACCGTCGTAGTCGCTGTCGTAATCGCCGTCGTAGTCGTCGTAGGCAGTACCGTTAGTATATTTAAAATTAACCATCAGCCGGTGAAACTATATGAATTATCGCGTATTTGTTGTTATTTTTGTTCACTACATACCAAGTGAGGGCTTAATCATGCTTTGCCGTGGAGTGTTGTGGTTTTGAGATGCTCGATAGCCCTAGAGGGATCGATTTTGCTTAATGAGCAGAATATCATGGGTTTAGTCCCAAGCTCTCGCACAACATAACAGAACACAAAAATATCAAGTATCATTCGAGCTAAAAATATTTCTTTGCATAATATAACCTGGAAATTTCAGGGTTACATCTTCCTTATTTTGGGAGCTGAGGAGACATAGAACTGCATCATATTGTATCTAAAATAATTATTATGTTCATTGCAGAATACCAGTTTTTTTATCCTTATAAATGGATTTTCATTTTTACGTATTTTAATGTTCTGATATATTTCATTTCTCCATTACATATATTTACTATACATAAATAAATACTGGGTTGAGAGGGAGCATCAGGGTATCATTTGACCTGGAACTGGACGATTGGAGTGGTATGACAACCGGAGTCTAGGAGGGAATAAACACTATCATTTTCTTTATCCTACCGATTCGATTGTGATGGTGTGAATTCTACTCCAACAGTTTCAAGGAGATTGACTCGCCCTTCTTAACAAACCATCTTGTAGGAAGCTTAATAAGTATTGCGAATTGCGTTATTCGATATTGTGAATTCAGATCGGTAGCTCAAATTGATCTTGCTATTAAGTGGAGCTGCATACAAGACAAGATCTTCGAAGGGATGGTGGCTACCTTACATACATTACATGTCATGAAATATTCCATATATTGTATGCAACATTTCTAACAAGCTGATAATTTACGTGAAAAGAAAGTTTACATGTTTGCAGGCATGGATGTTTACAACAGCAGTAAAATTCAGATTTTTTTTTCTGTGAAGGGATGGCCTTTAATCTGGTGCGGGGAAATCATTCTTCATGGAAGGGTGCGGAGGCTAGTTGTTCGTTCACAATACGAAATAAAATCAGTAGCGAGTGTGGCATTTATAGTAAAACTAGCTTCATAAAAAGTACGCATCTATATCATAGCAGATAACAAAGACTGGGTGCATTGATCAAAGGAACGATTTCTTTGTATAAGCGTTACTTTATTTCTAGTGCTCTAACTTTTGAGCTCTAAATTATATGATTACCGAAAGTCAGCTAAAGTCATACCCATCCGGAAATCTGGGAAGGGTTTTTCCTCTCCTTCCAACTATAGATCTATCAGCCTTCTCTCAGGATTATCAAAGCTCTTTGAAAAATCAAATATTCGACGACTTCCTACATCTGTCGACGAAAATATGTCTTAATCGAGGAGCAGTTTGACTAACTGGCATTGTTTAACGTTGAAAACAATTGGATAATGTCTGGCATGACCTCGTGTAAGTAAGTGTTTTAATGAAAAAAAAACTAGTCATATTATTGGTCTACAGTACTTTTGTGAATACTTAAATGCTATATACGACGACGATATAGCATAATTAAAAATCGAATCAAGTTTTATCATATTATATCTCCATCTTATCAAACTTTTTAGATGTTACAAACCAACAAACAAGCTGGATAAACAAATGTTCATTTATTCATATTGAAAATATAATTTCCAAAAGTTGATTTAAAATTATGTATACAATATAATCTGGGAAGAGACGGGCTCGGATTACTGGTAAGCATCAATCCTCTCACGATAAAGGTCATGAGTTTAAATCTCATCCCGGATAGTTAAGTCACGAATGATCTAAAATGTGTTAAAGTGACCATAATACCATACACACTTGAAAAATTTCATGTAAATTTAAATCTTTTTAGATGTACTCAAAAGAAGCAGCTTAATCGACCTAAATTTACGTCTTTTCTTAAATTACTCGAACCACAAACTGAAGACATATTTTTACATGTCGTGACGTAAATTTCTGTCACTGGTGCGCATTTTTACTGATTTTGATAGTTTTTCAAAATCCTGCAATTTTACATCTTTTAGACATAATTTTCCTTTGAAAGGCAGTCATCGCATACCTATAGTCAGAAAGACAGCAAAAGTTGTCTGTTGTATAGTTATATTGATTAAATGATTTCACCAAATCAATATATAGCAATCGAATACCAAAATATTTGTGTATTATCCGGAAGCATCTTCAATCTACATCCGAAGTATATCCACAAATTCTGCATACATATCCTAATAAAATTGTTATGGTAATTTTGCTTAAAGATGTGTTCCGGGTATCATCCAAACCGTTTGTAGAATAGTCTAATCATTTGGGTTACCATTCGGTTATGGTATGTTTTTATTAGGGTATCGCCGTCAGTAAAAAAAATCAGAAAAAATTCCCATCCCATTCATTAATTTTGAATTCCTTTGCATCCCTATCAATGGCTTTGCAAGATATCCTGATTATCCCTGATTATGCTTATTTCAAACTGTTCCTTTCTCCCCATTTGCATTCCATCACAGCGCTTCCAAGTATTTTTTGAAATAAAATACATTGCAACGAACACTCATTTTTTTCACTACCGTACCGTAACACGATAAAACTGCGGCGTGCGTTGCCGATGACGATCGAAGCTTCACTTACTGCTTTCAGGTGCTTTGTCACCGAGGTTAGGCATCATGTAATTTTACATCTATTCGGACATAAAAATCTGTCACGAATTTACTTTTCAGTTTTCGGTCATGTAATTTTAGGTTTTTTGACACCTAATTTTTAAAGCATGACATATTTTTCAGAAGTTGATGTGATATTCAGTCATAAGAAGCTATTTCACATCTAGGTGTGTTTATTATTAAATGTCGACCTTTATTTTTTTGAAGTGCGTCTATGTGCACATAAAATTAAGTCGTTTATAGAATTACATGACAAGAAAATTAGATCATACGTCAATTCAAGCTCGTGTAATTTTCAGTTTTTTTTAGAGTGTACCATAATACTGAGGCATGAAAGTCTACGCAGGCTTTAGGGGTGGAGGAGGGGTTTCAGAAAAGTCTACTGTAGTCTACAAGGGGGAGTTGGGAGGTCTTAAGAATTATCTAATTTTGATTTTCGTACATTAGAAATAACTATTTTTACACCAGACGTAATCTATCTTTGACGTAAATTTTGGAACGAACACAAACATGTCATGTAAAATTAAGTGTTCAATTGATTCTTATATCATAAAGGCATGTATCGGTCTCACAGCACCGAAATTTACACGGCTTCTTTCATAGCGAAATCCCACTATTAACGTAAAAACAATGCAAGAAGAAATAACTAATGATGTTTGCGGTAACCGACTAGTAAACGAAAAAAAAGTACAATGAATGGAACCGTCGTTTCTTGAATCGTCGGAATATTAAAAAAAAACAGGTTCTGGTCCAACTCGTTTTGACAGTGCAAAATCCTCCCATATTTTCCCTTGTTCCCTTTTTACCAGATTAGGGGAAAGCTTTTTTTTCACTTACCGAATATTCTCGATGCTGTACTACACCCCAACGAAACCAAGATTAATCCACAGTAAATGATTCCTAGATTAGTGCTGGCTCCACGAAGGCTCATTTTGCTTCCTTGTTGTGTACTATCTTCGTAACCCCCAAACACCTTTTATCTACTAACACTACCACTACCGTTGGTTTGCTGCTTTCGCTAGCTATGTAGAAACACAACAAACAACCATGCTACTGCTGCATTTGGCAGTAAATCTTATGCACCCTGCCTTACGCCACTTTCCCTAGGAACTGTGTGTGTCACATTCACAATGCAATGATGCAACCAGCTTCTCTAGATTTTCATTCGGGTACCCTGGTCGTCTCCAGAATTGCTTCCATCATTATCTCCCCGGAAAAACACACCTACGCAAATGACGATCCCCTTTGCTAGGACGTTGTCGTTGTCGTCGTCGTTTTAACGACAGCACACTAATGAATATCAATTGTGTATGTTTCGGTTATGGTTTCCCCCTGTGAAGGCTCCCACACTGCAGTCGCTCAGCTCAGTATCACTCTAATCGAATCCTATTGTTGTTTTGCAACAAACGGTGAAGATTCCGGTTTTGTCAGTCGGACAATTTCTGCTAACACATGGTACATTCAGTTGCCGTGAAATTCACCATTCTATGTAATTACATGCGGAAGGGTTGATTGAACTTCCGCTGCAGACCCTCGGTGAAATTTAAATGACGGAAATGCAATTACATGCCCCACACTGGCATCTCTCAGCAAAGGTTGTAGCTGGTAAAATATGTACACTCTGCTTCAAATCACGTCACACATCATCATCATTTATTCTTTATTTACCACCCACGGGACAAAAGCTCGCAATAATTGCTTTATTCACTCGTGCCGAAAGCGACTGTTTAATCCTCGCACCCGCACTCACTCTCACACTTCCGATTTTCCTCTTCACGGCGTCACGGTAGAACGTTTTTCTGATTCTTCTGTCGCTGGAATCGCATTTGATCTCCTGACCTTGTTATCAACACACAAACCCACTGCCCTAACGAACCCAGTGCAGAGACAATGCACAACTCCTGGCACCTTTCACTGGCAGTTGTCCCGTGACATTCTTCGATTTTCTCACAAATCCTTTGATAGTTCTCGCCTTCTTCCCATTAGCCGATCCTTTATTTTCAAGACTCCAGCACCATCAACTTAAAGTCAATGTTTTAGGAAAGGGAGAGCAAAAACAGAACAAATTCACCAACGCACCAGTAGCAAATTTGAACGTACACACGAACGAGGATAACGCGGAACTGAGATGTGTCTGGTAGCAGGTCGTGATTTTCTAGCCTAACTCGTAACCATCATTTCAGCTCTCATCTTACCGTGTGATCTCGTTTCATAATAAAGAGTAGAACGTACGAGCTCTTTTTCTCAACTGCTCGAATTCGCGGTTGCCATAACGAAAGCACTCATCGTCCTGGCAGTGGGCTGGAAGTGGAAGTGAGTGCGCATGACACGTACCCACAACGGACGCCTGCCTTGCTGAGTGATTCCGTTACGGGGACATCTGTCAAACCGAACGAAACGAGTAACGGAATAAAGAGGAACACCGGTGAGCGAGCTTTTGTACCCACATCGGTTGTTGTTTGCCTGGACTGAGTTCCCGGAAATTCGTCTTTTGTTTTGCTCGAGTTATGTAACACCCTGGGTGAGGAGAGGATGTCTGTAATAAGGGTGGGAGATGTGTGGGAAAAAGGAATTGAAAGAGTAAAAAACGAGCATTGAAATGATTGGGAATGGATTGATGTGCAGGTTGAAGGTAATACTAATTAAGAATGAATAATGTATCAAACCAATTGATTTTATGAAACGAGAGAGCAAATGCACACGCTGACTACCGCGGGAAACCAACAATGGTTTACAGGGGAAGATCAAAAGAAAGATGACAGTATCCTTAATACCATCGACAGATATACCATTGTACTAGCGTTGCACATGTGGTAGGGTGACGCATAAACGTTCTATACTCATCGCATGTCAAAGTAACAATAACATATTTTTATTGCTGTTTTGTTGTTGTTCTTCAAACACCGTGAAGTTACTTCGGAACCAGGTTCGGAAACATATTCAAAGATGACGAGCACGATTAAGAACACAATCGCCCAACATAACATCCGAATTCAAGCTTTGATGAAGCAAAGCAGAAAATACAGACTGTTAGCTTTGGCCTCAAGGAAATTGTATAAAAAATATGTTGAAGTAATGAAATTGGGTTGTTAGCGGAATGCTAAATAAAACAGCAAAAGGGTTTATCTTCCATTTAATTCCACTTAATTAATTTTTGTATCCATGACAGATACGTATTTCGACTACAATGTGCAGTCTTCATCAGTGTCATTCCCACTAAAGAACTTATCAAAATCTAACCCCCTTAAGTACTCATCCCCTAGGTAAAAAAGTCAAGATCATAGGTATAAAAATGAAACTACAATGTGTTGAATCGGAACCTACCTAACTAATAAAAACCAAAGATTTAAGTAAGCTAAAGGAGAAAAATCTATACAAATCTCTAATAAGGAAAATCCCCAAAGGCTTGGTAGCCACCATAATGAAGTAATGAAATTGGGTTGTTAGCGGTTTCCTTATTAGAGATTTGTATAGATTTTTCTCCTTTAGCTTACTTAAATCTTTGGTTTTTATTAGTTAGGTAGGTTCCGATTCAACACATTGTAGTTTCATTTTTATACCTATGATCTTGACTTTTTTACCTAGGGGATGAGTACTTAAGGGGGTTAGATTTTGATAAGTTCTTTAGTGGGAATGACACTGATGAAGACTGCACATTGTAGTCGAAATACGTATCTGTCATGGATACAAAAATTAATTAAGTGGAATTAAATGGAAGATAAACCCTTTTGCTGTTTTAAAAAATATGTGTTTCAAACAATAAGTCCCGGCAATTAACCGACGCAGAGTTTGGTCTAAAGTAAGATTGGTTTCATTTGAATTAGAATTTATTATTATTTAATATGTACATGCATCTTGTATGTGGAGAATTCTAGGTTTTGGGAAGAGGAACTCGAGACATTTTGTAATAAGAAATTCAAAAACGTGTTCCGGGTGGACGTTCAACTTTTTAGTTTCAAAATTAAAACACTTGCGTAGAGAAGACACTTGCTAGCGGTTTGCTATCCCTTTGGAAAAACTCATAGCTATAGCACTGTATACTCTTGGTTCTTCGGTTGGGTATACGGCTTGGAAACAGCCATGGGATAATGACTTTGTAAATTGATATTTTTGTTTGTCATGAAATATTGCTTGGGAAAAATGTTAATGCAATACAATGACCAATTGCGACATACCAATGCAATGGGTCGATAACTGACGAGACGAAGGTTAGAGAACTTAACTCTTCAGCATGTGTGTTCTGTTAAGGCCCACGCACATTAGATCCGGATTGGACGCGTTGCGGCAAAGTGACAGCAGAATCTATTGTCTAACAGTAAAATTTACAATGTGGGTGGCCCTTTAGAATTCAGTCCCAACATTTCAAAGGGGCGTAATTGCGTTTGTAAACAATGGCTTTAGCCGTCGATTTCTTTTTTTTTTCCTTTGGTTTGTTTTTTCCGTCGATCTTGTTTTCCGTGCTGAGCACCAATGCTACCGACGCCAGGAAGGCAGCTCCCACACCTGGACCCTACCTATCGACCCATCAACTCATGAACCGGGGACCAACGGCTTTACTTCCCATCCGAAGGAAGGCGTGATCAGAGATGTTATGCCTCAGAACATCCCGGCGGCGCCGACTGGTATTGAACCCAGGCCTGCTGGGGTGAGAGGTAATCACGCTTACCACTACACCACCGGCGTAGTGGTTAAAATGATAAAAATGTTTTCTACCACGGAAGCATAAATTTAGGCTTTATCAATGTTCTTTCTCTATTGCATCTCAAAGGTTCACCCCGAATGGTTATGCTCATCGCACTACAATTCGCGGGGCATCAAACCCCACTTGTAGTAACTAATAGTTATAAACATGCTATTGGACCTGTCTAACCGAAAGATCAAGTTTAAATCTATAAACTTGCATCAATCATATATTTATTTTTCCTAATATTCAGAGATACCAGTTGCTTAAAAAAATTACTGTATTTGCGTGGTTTTTTTGCCAAATTTGTTTTATAGTTTTAATTATTTAAAATGACTGATGAAACATAATGTGAAGTTTTTGATAGCGAGCCCATACAGCACCGCATTTTCACCCGTTCAGGCGAAATTATATAGTTATAATGGCAACCTTATGTCTTCGGTTACTTGTATTCGGGTTTTTTCGTCATGATCATCATTTCCTCCCATCATCATTTGTTTAGATCAGTCAGTCATTATCAGTAGCTCGAAGTGAATAAACCTAAACTAAATTAAATTAAAGATTTCTCTGGTGAAATAAAAGGTGTGGAAGAACTCTTGTTTGTTCAATTTTGTGCAATCCAAAAACTGCAAGTGTGTGTATCGCTCTGGTCGTCTTGTCAGTGACATTCGGATTACTGGCATCTCTGCTATTCTGAAGTGCATCATATGCACTTTCTTCTCTGTGCGCACACTGGGCCGTGCTGTGGCCACAATTAGAAAAGTGAGACACAACGTAGGAGTAAGTTTGAACATGTTTTGGTGCCGTGACCAGGATAAACGGCCGGTGGACACTACGGGACCGCCATTATTCCAGTCCGGAACAATAGAAGACCGGCTGAACGCGCCATTGTTGGTCGAAGGTGAAGCACCTGCTAGCTGTCGATTGTTCGAGTTTTTCTGATTTGTATTTGATACAAGGCTCGCTCAATCGGATTCCAGGTAATTACCTGTCCGATTCTTCCCACGTATCTCTCAGGTACGCTTTAGATCTTCGTTTCTTTCCGTTCAAGCACCTGTCTCGAAGGTTCGAGAACGCGATTGCCGCCATCCTTGATTGGGGCACACCACGTTGGCCATCCATCGCCATCTTCGAGCTGTTTCATTGTGTGGATCACAATACAGGTCCGCTACTGTTCTTCGGCGGACAATTGAGGCTTTCTTCTGGAGCATTCCTCAGCCAAGCTGCGCATTTTCTACATCTCTACGCACGTGCATCAAGCATACAGTTGCGTATTCATCGCATCGATTTTCATCTCGGCGGCTGTTTTGTCGAATACCTGAATATTTTGATTAAATCAAGGCACGCTAAGCCTTGGACTAGCTACATCCCGTTGGAGTTGGATTCGTCGCTGCACTATGGAAGAACCCAGGAGCAACAACCAAGCGCTGCTTTCACGGAGGGAGAGCCTTCTCGCTGCTCTGGGTCGGCTGAGGCATTTCTTGAGGCCTACGATGCTGCGAGGGACGCAAGGCAGGTTCAGATTCGGCTGGACCACATAGAAAACGTTTGGGCTAGGTTGGAGGACGTGCAGACGGAGCTGGAGTCCATCGAGCAGGACGAACAAGGTAAGCGAATGCATGAGGAGGTACGTACTGCCTTTGAAGAGAGGCTGTTCGCAATAAAAGCCGATCTAACATCTAAACTTCCTGTTCTTTCTAATGACGCTCGAATCCCTCAACCTATTGGCCATAATTCCGCTCTCTCTGGGTTAAAGCTGCCCATAATTTCACTCCCCGAGTTCGATGGGGACTATATGCAGTGGTTGGGTTT